GAAGGAGTTTTTCCAGCGTGGTGAGAGAACCCATGGATTAAAGACGTGAGTATGACACCTGTAATGTCAGCTGTCCACTTGAAACTGTATGCTGTGGACAGGTAGGCAGTTTATTCATTCATTATTCATTCATTCTTCTTGACTTGAACTATTTTATACAGCAGGCGTCATAGTAGCACTAAGAATTATTGACCCTTTGAGAGGCAGCAGTAGCCCACAGGATGATCATATCTGTATCAGGAAGGAAATTGAAATGTTTATCTCTTTCCATTATGAGATGATTTCTATTTAATAAAACATATATACACCTATGGGCAAAAATATGCCTCAGTCAAACCAGTGTAGTTGTGTGAGCGTCATGTAAAAGGAAAGGAAGTACAAACCACATAAACTCAGAAGAAGAAGTTGGAGAAAACTTCTGATCCAGTATTTATATGTAATGCATCTTCTGTTTCTTTACAGTTCCGTATTTTTCTTCATATGTTGCAAGCTTCTTTTTTTTTTTTTTGTCTTTACACAGTGTAAAAGCATTTCTAAGAAGCAGAGTAACTGAGTAACAGTACTGGATGTGAGGATGGGACACACTCTGCTCTGTGGGCTGGGGGTTTTCTGTGAGTACATACAGTAGATACAACTTTTTAAATGCCTGAGTGTATTTTATATTTGATAGTTTCTGTCAGTCTGATAATCTCTGATGAAGTTTCAAACTTTATTTTAGCCCTGAGTCTACTTCTCTACTGTGGACATGCTCAAGGTAATTATATAGTTCTCTATTTCTTTCTCTTTATATGTTCACTTAAGACAAATATCCACCAAATGTATCACTTTTCATCTCATCCTAATTCTGTGTTCTGTTTTGTCAAAAGAAAACACATTGACATTTTACATATTATGTTGGTTTCTAGATGCTGTGCTGACCATTGAACCAAACTGGTCCACTTTATTTACCGGAGAGTCTGTTACCTTCATATGTAACATGAGGGTGGGAAAAGACACCGACTGGTATTATACAATCCACAGGGATGGTCGAGTATTTCTCCCCTTCGGCTCAGATAAGAGATATACATCACGATCTCTATCTAAAGGCCACAGTGGTGAATACCAGTGCATTGGTAATCACAAGCCCTCAGCACATTCTAGAAAACAAAGTAATAAAGTCTCTCTAACTGTATCAGGTAAGTGATAAGTTTTACTACCATGACCAAGTTCACTATAAGCATTTATTTATTTATTTATTTATTTTTTATCAGCCATGTTGATATGATCAACCTGTTTGGCATAGTGCTAATACATAGTGTATAAATATTAATCTTGTTTATAAACTAGTTTTAGATTCAGAAACCTTAAAGTGGAGATAAAACACTTAACGATCCAATCACAATGAATTCACAAATTCAATCTTGAATACATCAACTGCTGGAATATTATATTCAGATATTTCAGATCACTTTCCGATTTTCTATTGCACCAGTACAGATGAAAACCAAAAGAATAATAAAGTTGTCACAGAAACATATAGAATATTCAATGCAAATAACAGATATAAGTTTAAAAATATGTTGAAGAAGATATCTCATGAAAGGGTATATGCTGAGAGTGATGCAAATTTAGCTTATCAAATATTTATGAAATCATTCAACTCAGCTTTCTTAAAATGTTTTCCTTTAGTAAATTGCAAGAAAAGAGTGGGTTCTGATATCAATAAGGCTTGGTTTACTGTTGGTTTGGAAAAGTCATCCAAAAATAAAAATAAACTCTATAAAAAATTCTTATTATGTCCTACACCCCTAAATTTAGCAAATTATAAGATGTATAAAAACAAATACAACCATCTTATTCGAGCTGCAAGAAAACAGTTTTTTAGTGATCAGTTTATGAACTGTGCAAGCAACATCAAAGCTACCTGGAAGGCTTTAAATCAAATATTACAAAAGGAAAAAAAATAATCAAATTTTCTTTCTAGTTTTTCTGATGGGAATACACCCATCACAAATCAATTTGATATTGCTTGCAAGTTTAAAGCGTTCTTTGCAAATGTAGGAGTTTCTATTTCCAAAAACATTGATAAAACTCAAGACGAACCAACTGATTATATAAAAGGTTGCTTTCCATCTATCAATCACTTTGAACCTCCTGACTATAAGGAAATTAATGATGTGATAATGGAGTTAAAAAAATCTTCTCCAGGTCATGATGAAGTTACTGCCTCCCTTGTTAAGGAGGTATCAAGCTCTATAATGAAACCATTAATACATATTTTCACTGCATCCTTGGAAAATGGTATTGTTCCCTCTGATCTTAAACTGGCAAAGGTTATACCAATTTTTAA